GTGCGTGCGTGTGTGCGTGTGCGTGCGTGCGTGCGTGCGTGCGTGCGTGCGTGCGTGCGTGCGTGCGTGTGTGTGTGTGTGTGTGTGTGTGTGTGTGTGTGTGTGTGTGTGTGTGTGTGTGTGTGTGTGTGTGTGTGTGTGTTAGTTTCAGTGTGTCCTGAGTGCGAGAAGTTTTGCTCATGTGCCCCCCTTCCTGTCAGCCAGCATCGAACGTCTGCGACTCACACGTTCACGCCAACCCCTCAACCAACCTGATTTCTCACCAACACCACACGACACCACACGACATAACACGACACAACACCAGACACGGTTGGTAAGGGCCTGGCAAAGCATCCTGGGGTTCCCGTTGTCGTCTTCATCACATTCGTCACGTTCTTCCCCATCAGTGGCCTTGTCACCTTCCACGGTCGGTGACATCATATGCGAGTACGCGTACGTGCGCGTGCGCGTTTGTGTGTTTGTGTGTGTGCGTGCGTGCGCGTGCGTGCTTTCTTTGTTTACACATATGCATACGCATGTATCATCCATGCCCCTCACACCTCCGCGTCCTCACATCACCATCACCATCACGACCATCACGACCATCACGACCATCACGACCATCACGACCATCACCGCTGTGTCCAGTTGCGCTTGTGCGGAGTGCGGTGTCCACGAACGAATCGCTCAAGCTCCGCTTCGACAACGTGGAGAGCCCGTACCACCGCGGCCACCCCTTCAAGAACGCAGTCTGTACGTATCGCATACGCACATGGTTATGTGTACTGTCTCTGACTTGTGATGGTTCATGGTTGAGTGTGCAGTCCGTCCGCCCACCACCACCACCACCACCACCACCACCATCATCATCATCATCATCATCACCATCATCATCCTCCTCCTCCTCCTCCTCCTCCTCCTCATCACCACCACCACCACCACCACCACCACCACCATCATCATCCTCGTCCTCCTCCTCCTCATCATCATCATCATCATCATCATTCCCCCTCCTCTCCTCACTCCACAGATACGCTGTTTGGCCCGCTGCGCCCGCCACTGATGCGATGGCGCGAGCTTGCATCCCTGTACGACCTCATGGTGTGGGTGGAAAGAACAGGCGACGCGGAGAAATACGCCGGGCTGATTGCGTCATTGTCACGTCAGGATCCGTTGCCGGACTACAGGACCGCCTCGCCGGCACAGATGGCGACACAAAGCACCGATGGTGGTGGTGATGGCGGTGATGATGATGACAAGGGTGATAGTGGAGGTGATGGTGGTGATGAAAAAACCGCCAACAACGACACCAACAGCACCAACAACGACAGCAACAACAGCAACAACCACAGCCACGATGGTGCCAACAAAGCAGATACCACTGCAGACACGAATACAGCCGCTGCCACATCTGCCAGTCATAACGGTGTGCATGACAGCATCAGCACCGTGAGCCACGGCGCAAGCAGCGGCGGCGGCGATAAGGTCATCATGCCTGCACGCACGCACGTTGGGTCGTCACTGAGTCTGGTGAATCAAGCGAGCAGCAGCTGTGCGAACGACATGCACCGTGTTGGGCGCAGCAGCACCGAGAGCAGCGGTCGCAGCAGTCGCAACAGCCACGTCGATCGACAACACGGTGATGGTGGTGATGGTGGTGATGGTGGTGATGGTGGTGATGGTGGGCAGGGTGGTGGCACGAGGACCACGAATGGGCATCAGAGAGACAGCCCCAACGGGGTTGCGTCTGATGTCAGCCAAACACGTGGAATCCACCACTTTGTGAGCGTTGAGCGAAGCGGCAGCAAGACAGCTGTCGTGTGAGCGCCATGGTGGTGGTGGTGGTGACATTGGATGCATGCATGAGTGAAGCGGGAGATATGAGCGAGTAATTTGTGAGACGTTTGTATGTGTTTGAGCGTGAGATTGCGTGTACGTGCTGCAGGGATGTTTCATGTGCTGAATGCTTGTTGCCTCTCTCGCTTTTTTGTTTGCTTTTTTTTTTTTTTTTGCTTGCTTGTCTTGTAGTGGCTTTGTTGCCCTTTCCCAGGTTTGTCTGCTGTACATACATTGATTTCCTGTCACAGCGTTGTGTTCGTGAGTATACAAATAGCCAACTGCCACAGCCGAGGCTTTTCTCCACGCCCACCCACCCACCCACACCCACACCCACACACTCGAATTGCTTGCTTGTGGTGGACACTTTCTTTTATGGAATGGAGGACAGACAACGGGAGCATGGCGATGGTGGTGGTGGTGGTGGTTGATGATTGTTGTTGTTGATGATTGTTGTTGTTGATGATTGTTGTGGTTGATGATTGTTGATTGTTGTTGTGGTGGTAACGTTGCCGTTTTGGACGATGAACAATACAGCGATACATGCATACAAACTAACACGTGCATTGCCGGAGCAAAGAGAGACGGTGTGCATCTCGTGGTGGATGGCGTGGTTGACGAGCAATCGAAAGAGAACAAATGAGGAATCGACGCGGAAAGAGAGGCAGGCAAGTACACAAATGGTTGGAAGGTCGTATCAGAAAAGAGAGAGAGAGAGGGGGGGGCTTATGAAGGGTCAGACACTTGTGCCATTCCCCTCGGACCTCTTCTTCTCGGACCTCTTCTTCATCCTCCACACGCCAAATCCAACCCACAAGTGCCAAGCAACCAACTCCCTCGCCACCGGTCCATCTCGCGCTTTCTTCCTCTCGTGCCCACGCAGCCACGATCCCCGCTCACTCGGCGTCCTGCAGCACAATGCGAGCGGCGTTTCGGCCCGGCGCGCCCATGACACCGCCGCCAGGGTGGACGCCACTTCCGCAGATGTACAGCCCGTCGATGGGCGTGGTGCCGTCGCAGTACTCCGGGGTGGGGCGCAGGTAGAGGATCTGGTGCAGGGACATTGCCCCATGGAAGATGTTGCCCTTATGCAATCCAAACTCGCGCTCAATGTCGAGTGGGGAGAGGGCGTCGTATCCGATGACGGAGGAGCTGAAGTTGGGGGCGAATTCGTCCACAACACTGAACACGCGGCGAACAAACGACTCCTTGAACGACTCATCAGCCCACGTGCCAACCTGGCCGTGGTGCAATGTGGTGCAATGTGGTGCAATGTGGTGCAATGTGGTGTTGTGTGACGTAGTTGTGTATACAAGGTGAGCTGGCGCTGTGCTCACGGAACGAGTTGCATGTGTGCGTGTGTGCGTGTGCGTGGACGCAGTGATTTGTGCAACACGACTGTCCACCAAACATCACGCTATCACACCGGCTTCCATCACCCCTAACTGTCCACCGCGTCTCTGCCCACCTGTGGGTCCACGTCGTAAGGCGCGTACTGGACAAAGAGCTGCACCACGTGCTTGCCCTCTGGTGCAATGGTCTTGTCAATGGCAGATGGAATCGTCATCTCAATCACAGGTCGCGTGGCTGGCCGCCCAGTCTTCGCCTTTCGAGAGAGAGAGTGAGTGTGTGTGTGTGTGAGTTGTGGGGGAGAGGGAACGGTGGAGGAGCTAGTGTGGCGGCGTGTGTGGTTCAAGCTTGCAGCGAAAACAGGCAGTCAGGCAGGCAGACAAACACGCAGACACACACACAGACACACGCAGACACAGACACAGACACAGACACACAAACACAGACACACACAGACAGACACACAGGCAGACACAGACACAGATACATACAACCCCCCCCCCCAACAAACGCACACACCCCAGTCTGTCCCGACCCACCTCGGCCGCAGCGCGTTCGAGCTCGTGCATGGAGTTCTCAAAGTGGATTGTGCCGTGGTGGTGGGGCTCTGGGCCGGTGCCTTTGTTCGGCGCGCATACAAAGTCTGGCAGCTCGCTGACGGCACAGTTGATTTTGAACGCGCCGCACGAGTAATCAGTCGTCTGAATGCGTTTAAGAAAGTCCTCGCCAAGGAGAGACGCCTGGCGGTCCTTGGGCAACAGCTCCGTGTACGTGCGGTGTGGCGTGCAGTTGCTCAGGACAAAGTTGCTGCTGACCTCCATCTCTGTGCCATCGCCCAGCACAACGCGCACGCCCGTCACGCCACCGGCATCAATGCTCGCGTCATCACCACGTCGCCCTTTCTTCTTGCCGCCGTTGGTGTTGCTGCTCTCATCAATAAGAATCTCTTGCACGTCTGCGTTGACAATGATCTCAGCACCGGCCTGCTTTGCACTGGCGGCAATGGCGTTACTCAACGCCCCCATTCCGCCCTCAACATACGCCCACACGCCCTTGCGGCCTGTCGAGTGGTGGTGGTGGTGGTGGTGGCGGGGTGTGTGTGCATTGTGAGTTTTGGTTTGTTGTGGCAGTGGAGCGAGGTCAGTATTGTGCATGGGTGATCACGGGCACGTGGGCAGAAACAGAGGGAGGGGGAGAGCCGCATGGGAGACAGACAGACAGACGACAGACACACACGCACACACAGAGCACACGACTTGCCTGCGACCTCGCCCATGACGTGGTGGAGGAGGACGTATGCCGAGCCCGGGTCCGAGGGTGCAGCCATGGAACCGATGACAGCGTCGGTGGCGAGCGTCGTCTTGAGCATCTCGCTCTCGAACCAGCGGTCCAGGATCTGGGACGCGGGCGCGGTCAGTAGCTCGTAGAACTCTGCCTGCGCACAATAAGGTGGTGGTGGTGGTGGTGGTGGTGGTGGGAGTGAGGGTGATGCTGATCAGAGGGGAAGAGGAAGAAGAAGCAAGAAAACTGGGACAGCCAGACACGCGAACAGACAGACGGACACACACACACACACACACACACACACACACACACACACACACACACACACAACGCACACACACGCGCGCACAACACGAACAGGAAATATATTACTCACAAGCTCCTTCTTGTACTTGAAGATATGTGTGAGGAGGTCAAAGTGTTGGGAGGCGAGGCGGGCAAAGGCCATCAGGTTGCCACGTTGCTGTTGCGCGACCGAGACAGTGAGAGAGGTGATGATCGTTGTCGGTGTTGTTGAGCAGACGCATTGCAACGTTTTCAGAGCACAGAGTGGAGTGAGCAAGGAGCAATGAGGGACATTCATCCAGCAGGCACACAGACAAACAGACAGACAGACACACACACACACACACACACACCCAGACACACACACACACCCAGACACACACACAGACACACACCCAGACACACCCAGACACACACACACACACACACACACACACAGACACACGACTTGTACCAGCTCGTCGAAGGAGACGTTGGGGAGGGGGCGTTCGAGAAACGGTTGGATGAGGTCGCGGAAGCGGCCAATCTTGGCCTCGTACTTGGGGAAGGCATCGGCATCATGCTGCCACACACAGACAGACGCATAGATGTAGAGACACACAGCAGCAGCAGAGGACCAGGTGCAGACACACACAGACACACGTAGCATGTGAGTAATAGCCGCCGGTGAACATGACACAAAGCCCCCCGCGCGCGCGTGTGTGTGAGCACGGCGCAAACGCACCTTGCTGAACTGGGCGATGGACGCTGCTGTCTTTGTCTCATCGTCCCAGAACATGAGGTGCTGTCCCGGCGTCTTGGTCGGAGTGAAGGACGAGGGGTCCCGGGGCAGGAAGCGAAGGCCATGCTGGTGGTAGCAAGAGAGGAAGGCAGAGAGGAAAGCGTACGAGGTTGGAGAACAGGGGAGGAGATGGCATGTTGGTTGTTGCCGATGGCGACGTGAAAACAGGTCTCTCATGACACGCACAGACACAGACACAGACACAGACACAGACACACACACACACACAGACACAGACACAGACACAGACACAGACACAGACACACACACACACCTTGTGGAGGTCGAGCTCCTTGACGATGGAGGGGCGGATCAGGCCGGCGAGGTAGGATGCACGGGAGAACTTGAACCCTGGCACAATCTCCGAGGACACGGCAGCGCCACCGACTTGGTCGTTCTTCTCCAGAACAAGCACCTTGCCACCTGTGCGTGCACGTGTGAGTGTGTTGTTCAGTGTGCGCGTTCAGTGTGTATGTGTGTGTTCGGTCATGCCTATGTGTGTGATTGGGAGGAGTGCACTTCGCAGCAGGCAGCACGGCGGACCTTGGCGGGCGAGGTAAGCGGCAGCGACAAGGCCGTTGTGGCCGCCGCCGACGATGATGGCGTCGTACGCCCTGGACACGGGCCTCAGCGCACGCATCTTCACTGCAACCGACTCGCGCGAGGGGGCGGGGGAAGAAGAAGCAAGAAGCAAGGAAGCAGGCGCACGTGAAGGCACAACAACACGCAACAAGAAGAAGGAACAACAAGAAGGACAGCAAGGAGAAGAATGAATGAAAGGAGGAGAGGAGGAGGAAAAAGCAAAAACACAAGCAAGCAGGGCAGTGGAGATGGACACAGACGACAGGGTGACGGCGAGAGGGGGAAAGGAGGAGGAGGAGGAGGAAGTGGAAGTGGAGGGTGGTGAGCCGGCCTTGTTGGGTGTGGAGGCACCACAGGCTGAAGGGGACGTGGAGGTTGTTGGAGAGGGTGTTGGTAGCGGAGAGCAGGACGATAGCATGAGCAGCGCAGCAATAGGGCACGGCGACGCCGACGGTGGCAGTGGCAGTGGTGATGACGATGCACATGACACTTTCGATGTGATGTCCTTGCGTGCAAACAGATCCAGTGTCAGCAGCGAAGGCAAAGGCACCCTTCCAAGGTGCACGCGCGTGTGTGTACATGTGTGTGTGTGTGTGAGTGTGTTTGTGTGTGTACATGTGTGTGTGTGTGTGTGTGTGTGTGTGTGTGTGTGTGTGTGAGTGTGTGTGTGCGTGTGAGTGTCTGTGTGCGTGTGTGTACATGTGTGTGTACATGTGTGTGTGTGTATGTGTGTAAACATGTGTACACGTGCGTGTGAGTGCGTGTGTGCGTGGTTTGTCATGTCATGTCATTGAAGCCCGCCAACATCAGCGTCCATTCCTTCATCTGTTGACCCTGCAGGCGTCCAAGCGCTGCGCGGCTGGAAGCCGATCTGTCATCCCTGCGCACCGCACTTGCACGTGAGAGACAAACGTGCACTGCACCGGGTGTTCGTACATGCGTTCGGAGCACTGCGCTTGCGATTCCTGTGTGCGTGCTTGTGTCCTCGCTCACATGCGCTCCCGCCCCGCATTGCCTTGTTCAGAGACGGAGAGTGAGCGGTCCAGCTTGGAATCGGAGGTGGTGGTCTTGCGAAGACAGCTGGCCGAGGCCACCAGCGTCGCCGACTCAAAGGACGAGGAGTGGTGCGAAATATATGTGTGTGTGTGTGTGTGTGTGTGTGTGTGTGTGTGTGTGTGTGTGTGTGTGTGTGTGTGTGTGTGTGTGTGTGTGTGTGTGTGTGTGTGTGTGTGTGTGTGTGTGTGCGTCAGGGTCCGAGTCACTGTCGTTCTTCCTCTCTCGGTTCTTCTCTGCCTCCTTTCAGTGCATGCGTGTGTGTCTGCATGTCTCTCCTTGCCGATGTTCACTCCTGTCCGTCTGAACTCCATCTTCGCCACCGCCACCACGACTACCACCACTATCACCAACGCCATCCGTCCAGGTTCCAGCGTGTTGAGCAGCTGAATGACGTGATCATGCAGCTGCGACAAGAGGTGCGCACGGCCAAGCAGCAGCAGCAGCAGCAGCAGCGCAGCGGCTCCCGGCGGTGGCGGCGATCACGACAGCCACAACAACAACAACAACAACAACAACAGCAGCAAAATGATGGTGATGGGGAGATGGATATGGAGACGGCCCAGCGAGAGAGTGATCTCTTGCGTGCCGTCGTGCAGCCGATGGAACTCGAAATTGCCCGGCTGCGGCGCAAGCTGGAGGTGTTGTGTGTATGTGTGTATGTATGTGTTGCGTTGTGTGTATGCATGCGTTTGCGGTGTGTGTGTGTGCGTGCGTGTGTGTGTGCGTTTGTGGTGTGTGTGTGTGTGTGAGACTTTGTTTGTGTTATCCTGGTTGCGTTGTGTGTGCTTTTGCATGTGGCGTTGCGCGTGCGTGTGTGCCTGCCTGCATCTTGCTATCATACTCTTGTCGCTGTTCACACGTTCGCACACGCCACCTGCCGCAACGTAACGCGACAGGAGGCGAAGAAGGACAAACCCGATGACGAAGTCGCCAACATTGAGAAGCTTTACGTGCGGGAGAAGGTGTGTTGGTGCCGTGGTCGTGGTCGTGGTCGTGGCAGCGTAGTTTGCTGGGATGGTGTGCTGTGTGTGTGCGCTGCTGGATCAGTGCTTATGGTATCATCACAACTCGTTGCACTAATGCACATACACATGCACACACACACACACATGCACCACCCTCGCTCTGCCAGTCGAAGACGCATGACCTGCAGCAGCAGATTGGAGTGCTGGAGACGCAGCGGCGCATCCTCACAGACGATATGCAGGCCCTCAGGTTGGGATTAATTGGTGGATGGTGGTGTTGCGACAAGGGTGGTTTGTATCGAGTGTTCTCACTGACATTCGCACACACGCATGCGCATGCACGTACATGTACACATGTACACACATGTACACACATGTACACACAAACACACAAAAACACACGTGCACATGCACAACCACTGTGTGCAGGCTGGAGCTGAGCAAGAAGGAGGTTGCGTACACGGAGCTTGAAGTGACGTATCATCGGGCAAACGAAACGTTCATGGAGGTCCAGGGGTCGTACGACCGGCAGGTGGAGGACCTGCAGCGGCAGTTGCGAATGTGCGGCGGAAGCAGACGCCGGACGGGCACAACACGCAGTCGTGGCAGCCGCCGTGGTGGCAATGGTGGCGATGGTGGTACTGATGGTGATGGTGGTGATGTTGATAAGGGCGATGAAGAGAAGGGTCGTGGTGGTGATGGTGCCACTGGTCATGACGATGATGGTGGCGATGATGGCGACGAGGACGAGAACCAGGAGGAAGAAGGTACGTACCTGCTGTGTGTGTGTATGTGTGTGTGTTGAATGTGTGTGTGTGTGTGTGTGTTGAATGTGTGTGTGTGTGTGTTGAATGTGTGTGTGTGTGTTTAATGTGTGTGGCAGTGTGTGGACAATCATTCACTCACTACCACCACCTCCTCTTCCACCGTCACTGACTCACCCACTCACTCAACCATCACCATCACCACCATCGTCACTTCCCGACCACCAGATGAGCCGGAGGTGGTGCGTCTTCGCGAGCTGTTGGCGAAGGAGCAGAACAGGAGTGCAGTGCAGCTGTCGGCACTCGACCAGAACATGATCACCCTCCGCGAACACTTTGCAGCGCGATTCGAGTCAGTCGCAGCGAGAGCGACCTGTGGGCTCTGCGTGCATTGTTTGTTTGTTTGGTTGTTCTTGTGTGTGTGTGTGCGTGTGTGTGTGCTCTTGTGTGTTCTTGTGTGTGTGTGTGTGTGCGTATGTGCGTATGTGTGTGTTCTTTTCTTTTTTTTTTGGTGTGTGCGTGTGTGCGTGTACGCTCTCTTTCACACATCACATGTATGACTCACGGCTCCGCCTTCCGAACCCTCGCCCGACCTGCTGACCATCAGGGAGCAAGAGCGAGAGCTCGTGAGACAGCGGGACCAATATGAGGCCACAATCTCAACACAGCGCATGCAGGTGCGAGCGAGCATGCGTCAATTCGTGTGAACGTGCGTCTGCTTGTTGTGCACATCCATCTACATGTGTCGTGTCAACATGAAGCCATCGCCTGTTCACGTGCGCAATCCACGTTGGGCACATGCACACATCCATGTGACGACCGTTAGATCTCCAAGCTGGAGGCCCGCGTGCAGCAGCTGCTGCAGGTGTGAATGTGTTATTGTGGCAGCGATGTGCATTTGTGATGTTGGTAATGGCGCGAATGTGTGGCAATGGGTGTTGGTTGTGGATGGCACTGTGTTTTGAACAGGTTTGAAGTATGTCGTCTGCCACCCCAGCGATTGCTACGCTCACGCCCATATGTCTGCACTCGTGTGTTCGTGTGCGTGCGTGTGCGTGTGTGTGTGCGTGCGTGTATGTGTGTGTGTGTGTGCATGTGCACAGCGCACGTCACCTGAGGCGGAGCACGGCAGCCACACCGCGCTCTGCAGGAACTACGAAGCGCAGGTACAACGCCACGACGTTGACATCACCACCACCACCAAAACCACCACCTCCGCCACAAGTCCAACCTCACATGAACCGACCACCTCCCCTCACCACCACCACCACACCATCACCACCACCACCACCACCACCACCACGAATCACCAGCTTGTAGCGCGGCAGCTTGAGATTGACCGGTTGAAGGAGCGCCTTCGTCGCGCCAATGCGGACGCCGACGCCGTGTTGGCGGCGTCGCAGCAGGAGCACGCGCACGCGGCCCGCACATACGCCCGCACCCTCAAGGACTCCATGCACCACTACGTGCGTACGATGCTAGTGGTGCTGGTGTTGCTGCTGGTGGTGATGTCGGGCTGTAACTGGGGTTGAATGTTCTGTGCGGTACGATGCCGTGGTTTGTACTGCGTGAAAGGAAGGGAACATACAATCTGGTGCTCGTGGTCTCACTCAACTATGTTCGCCACGCTGCACCCACTCCTCTCTGCCTCACCTTTACTCTTCCTTAACTCCTCTCTGCCTCACTCTACCTCGACTTGCCTTCTCTCTGCATCACCCGTCCCATTTCCCCTTGCACACCCCACCAACCTTTGCTGTCCCTTGCGTTGTGTGCAGGAAGAGGAGTTGAACCGCCGCTACCGGCACCGCGTGGAGAAGCTCGAGATTGAAGTCCACGAAGGTGCAGCTGATGCCGTAACTGTCGTTGCTCTGCTTTGGCCGCTTCCACATCAAACGCAGCACTTTCACACGCTGGCTGTTGCCTTGCTCTCCTTGCTTCCATTGCTGCCATTGCTCCCATTGCTCCCTTCCTTGCTCACTTTTCCACCCACCCATCCTTTCAATCCTTTATTCTTTCTTCCATGCAACACCACCACCACCACCACCACCACCACCACCACCACCATGCATCCTGCGGAGTGCAGCTGTGACGTCGTGGCCGTTTGTGCTGTCGACAATTGAGGAATCGCAGCAGGCGACACAGGAGCAGATTTCACAGTTCCAGCACATGGTCCGTGAATGGTGATGGTGATGATGATGATGGTGGTGGTGATGGTGATGATGGTGGTGATGGTGGTGATGGTGATGGAGCTTTTACTTTGTATGCGATGATGATGTCGTGGGTGTGTGTCGGGGTTTGATCTCACACCCTCCGTTTCCCCTGACATCTCACACCGCACCCCCCTCTGCGTCCCAAACATCCAATGCATGACCAATACAACCCACCTGCCCACCTGCCAGCTCCAGCAGGCTGTGGATGCCAAGGCGAGGGAGGCGACCCGCCTTCGGGCAACCATCGACGAAATCGCAGAGGTCTGCAGTGTTGCGTGTGCGTATGTGTGTTGTAGCTTGCGTGCATGTGTTTCGTGGATGCATTGTGTCTGCATTGTGTCTGCATTGTGTGTGAATGTGTGAATGTGTGTGTGTATGTATGTATATATGTACCTGTGCCTGGTGTTTGCACGCTCATCAATACAACGGTGCATGCCACCGGTGTGTGCAGGAGCTTGCGTCAAAGACGAGGGAGGCGGAGATGCTGAGCACGACGCTCTTGGAGCGAGACGTCACCATCGAACACCTACAGCACGACAACCAGCAACTGCAGGACACCGTTGCTGACCTCGACGTGCGTTTGCACATTGATGGCCGTGGTGTTCGTTCTGATTGTTGCGCATGTGTGGGTGTGTGGGTGTGTGGGTGTGTGGGTGTGTGGGTGTGTGGGTGTGTGGGTGTGTGGGTGTGTGGGTGTGTGGTTGCGTGTGCATTTATGTGGATGTGTGCGTGTGCATTCATATGTGTATGTGCGTGGGTGCATGTGAGCGTCTTTGTTTGGCTCATGCTTCCCCCATCTGTCTGTCCTGCATCTTCTCCCACTCTTTCTTGCTTCGCTGCTGCAGGTGAAGCTGACAGCGCACGAGGAGGCGATGAAGGAGTTGAATGCCCGCTGTGAATCGACCGCACACAGCATAGACCAGCTCACGATGTAAGGCGCCCTGGCGTGCTGTGTGGGGTGTGTGTGTGTGGCTGACTGCATGGCATCACACTCAGTCGTGTGCTGACTGCATTGGATTGCTTCTATTGTTGGATCACCCATGTTGTGTGGTCGCTTTCGTCGCGTGCTGACAATTTCAACCGTACCGTACCGCCTGTTGTTGCTGGTTTGGTTTGCAGTGAAAAGCAAAAGGTGGAAGCTGAGCTCGCCAACTTGAAGAAAGGTGAGGTGTAGTGGCTGGATCAGGGTGCAGTGCTGTTGTGCAATGGCGTTGTCGTGTTGTGTGATGATGAGGTTGGTGCCAACCCCAGTTCTCACACACACACACACACACACCCACACACACACACACCCACCCACACACACACACACACACACACACACACCCACACCCACACCCACACCCACCCACGCACACATAACACAGGCAAGAGTGGTAAGAGGTGACGAATTCTATTGAAAACCTTGAAATAAATTTCTACAATCGCATTTTCGCGCGCCAAAACGAACGAACGAAACCCCCATACACACACACACATCCACACACATCACATCACACACCCCATACACACACACACACACATCCACACACATCACACACAAACACACACACATCACACACACACACATCCACCCTATCACCCACCCCAGCCAGCGATGGGAATTCATGACCTGTCCAAGGTGATTGGCGACAACGCCAGTCATGCTGTGAAGGAGACGGAGATGAAGAACCTCTTTGGTGAGTGGTAACATCAAAGGTGCACGCGTGATAAGGAAAGACACTTGTACGCTGTCATCACTTGCACTGCCCATCATCATCATCATCTCAACACAGCCGCACTCGCGCCCGCGCTCATCGTCTCTTTCTCTCCCTCTCTCTTTTCCTCCCGCTTGCGTCGTCGTGTAGGCCGCAAGGTGGCCATTGATGCGTCCATGAGCATCTACCAGTTCCTGATTGCGGTGCGATCGGAAGGCAGCAACCTCACCAACGCAGAGGGCGAGACCACCAGCCACCTCTCCGGCATCTTCTACCGCACCATCCGCATGGTCAACAACGGTGTCAAGCCCGTGTACGTTTGCTGTGTGTGTGCGTATGTGTTTACGGTTTCATAAGAGTGCTTAACACACACTTGGGTTGCGATGTGTATTGTTTGCTGGTTCGCTGCGGGTCTGTGCTGTGCATGTGTGTGTGTGTTGCGCGTGTTCGCGCGTGTACACGTTGTACCTAAACAGCAAGCGTGCGTGTTCTTGTGCTGGTGTTGGTTTGACGACAGGTATGTGTTTGATGGCAAGCCACCGACGCTGAAGAGTGGCGAGCTTGCGAAGCGGACGGAGCGCAGGAAGGAGGCCCAGTCCAAGCTGGAGGCCGCCACGGAGGAAGGTCTGTCAACGACCCGGCTGTCACGCATGTGCGTGCGTGCGTGTGCTGCTACCTGCCATTACACTTGCGCTTACAACTCTTGTTGTGTGTTTTGTGCATCTCTCTCTGTGTGAACAGGCGTGCAGGCGGATATGGAGAAGTTTACGCGTCGACTGGTGAAGGTCACACCCGAGCACAACCGGCAGTGCCAAGAGCTCCTGGACCTCATGGGCATCCCATACATCGTGGTATGTGCACGCAGACACGCGCGCATGTGTGTGTCGTGTGTGTCGTGTGTGTGTGTGCGTTGTATCGAAAGAAGAATTGATCGTTATCATTTGGTCCCATGCATGACAGACGCACATATGAGCTCATTTTCACACGCACACGCACACAACACACACACACACACGCACACAACACACACACACACACACACGCACACAACACACACACACACACACACACACACACACACACACACACACACACACACACACACACACACGACCAGGCGCCGTGTGAGGCAGAGGCGCAGTGTGCCGAGCTGGTCAAGGCGGGAAAAGTGTTTGCGACGGCCACAGAGGATATGGATGCGTTGACGTTTGGCACGAGTGTGCTGCTGCGTCACATGACGTTCAGCGAAGCGCGCAAGATGCCGATTCAGCAGTTTGAGCTGAAGAAGGTGCTGGAGGGCCTCGACCTCTCCCAGGACGAGGTGCGCACGTGCTGTTTGCGGTGTCGTGTGGTGTGGTGTTGTGTGTTTGAGTGCTAGGCGTGTGTGTGTGTATGTCTATGACGTGCGTGCGTGCGTGCGTGCGTGTGTTTTGTTTGAATGTTTGGGTGAGGATGTGGTTCGCACTTAAGTCAACTTGTTCTCCGTATCCCCCCCCCCCATCTCACCTTCTGTTCGCACTCTCGCACACCATGAACCCACCCAACCCAACCCCCCCCCCACACACACGTGCAGTTTATCGACCTGTGCATCCTGCTTGGCTGCGACTACTGCGACAAGATTGGAGGAATTGGACGCGTGCGCGCGTACTCACTCATCAAGGAGCACCATTCCATCGAGGCGATACTGGAGGCGATCAAGAAGGAGAAGAAGAAGTACACAGTGCCGGACGACTGGAAGTTTGCAGAGGCACGCGAGCTGTTCAAGAACCCAGAAGTCGCGCCGGCAAAGGACATCGACGTGCGTTGTGTGTTTTTTTTTTGGGGGGGGGGAGGCCGTTGCTTTGTGTGTGTGTGTGTGTGTGTGTGTGCTTATATGTGTGTGTGTGTGTGTGTGTGTGTGTGTGTGTGTGTGTGTGCTTGTGTGAACGGGGCGTACCAGCACTCTACCACTGCCCCCATCACTCACCATCACTCACCATCACTCACCATCACCTGCGCAGCTCAAGTGGAACATCCCGGATGTTGACAAACTCGTTGATTTCATGTGCAACAAACACGGCTTCGAGTGAGTCAAGAGACGGTAGCTGCGTGGTGTCGTGTGCGTGTATGTGTGCGTGTGTGTGCGTGTGTGTGCGTGTGTGTGCGTGTGTGTGTTTGCGTTGTTGTTGTGTGTGTCTCACTCACACGTGCATGCAATGCAAATCACCTGACTTGTTCCTGACGCTTCCACCCCTCAACCCTCACTCCCTCCATACACTCCCACCCCTTCCATACTCCCCTCAAACCCCCCCCCCCCAAACCCCACCAGGGAGGGCCGCATTCGCCGCGGTGCAGAGAAGCTCGTCAAGGCGCGATCGGTGTGTTGCCGGCTCAGCGACCAGGGGTGGTGGTGGTGATGATGTAATTGTCGTCGTGGTGTCGTGTTATTGTTGTCGTGTTTATTGTTGTTGTGTTGTTATGCTGCGTGTCAAGTCAACACTTGCTGTGAGCTATGCCACTTTCCGCTGTCATGCATATGAGCACGTTGACGCTCTGCTCAACACCTCATCATTACCACCATCACCGTGCCACCACCATCAGACGTCAACGCAGGGTCGTCTTGACTCGTTCTTCAAAGTACTCCCGGGCGGGGCTCCAAAGAAGCGCAAGGTGAATGCCTTGCCTGCATGCACGCTTGCTTGCTTGTTGCCTGCATGCACGCTTGCTTGCCTTGCACGCACGCTGCCTGCATGCACGCTTGCTTGCCTTGCACGCACGCTGACCCGCAACGTTGACACCTTCTCCACTCCACGCACACCATACACACACGCGCGCGGGCGGGCAGAGCTCGGAGAACAAGGCTGGGGCGAAGAAGGGCAAAGGAGGAAAAGTGAAGGGAAAGGGAAGGAAGTGATGCGCCAATGGGACCAATGTCACCCGTTGTGTTGGCACCTCGCTGACTGTACTGTTGTTTTCATCGCGCCACATACATGCACCTTCCGTCATCATAAGTAAACCCCACAGCCATCAAACGCACTCACACACACACACACACATGCACAGGCACACACACACACACGCACAGGCACACACACGAAAGTAGTTTGTGTGGTTTCGCTATCTTTGGGGAAGGAGGTTTATTTACTGTCAGCTTGGGGAAGAAGCGATGACACACTCAGGAGAAGCTACCAATGTGCATTGAGCCTCACTGAGCAACAGCGGTCAGGATGCATTCAAGAGATAGAAGACAGAAGACGAGGAGAGGAGAGGAGAGGAGAGGGGCTCAGGGTGCGTCACCGTAACAACGACACACGCGGACCTCACTCACGCAGCTCGCTCGCAGATCAGGATGGGAGAATGAAAACAGACAATCACAAACACACAAACACAATCAAACACACTCACACTGCAGACGACACATGGCACACAACCAGACAAATCACAAACGGCGTCATATCAATAGCCACCCAAAGACGATGAATTGCATTGCGGCAGGGCGTGAGGTACATCGCTCATTGATTCCCAACCCGCGTCATTGACATAAAGCAAAAAGAGGGGACGTCACCTCACAGTGAGTGAGGAGAGCTTAAGAAGCACAGAGGGGAAAGAACAAAGAAACGCGCCTAGCACACTGGGAAAGAAGAAGAGAGAGGCGTCAGCGCCATCAGCGTTGGAGCTGTTGATGTGTGTGTTGGTTGGTTGAGTATGTGTGGGAGAGGCCTATGGCTGGGGTTGGCTGGTTGGTTGGGGTTGGCGTGGACTTGTTCTTATTGCTTCTTGTCGTTGTCATCGTGGACGCCAGACCATGTGCCGATGACGAGGGCGGCGACGGCGAGGCCTTGGAAGCCGACGCGGGCGCGCTGCAGGTATTGTGAGAGCTGCTGCCGGCCGGTCCTGTAAGCCCAGAAACCGCCAATCAGGGAGAGACCGGCACCGGCGATGGCGGCGGGCACAAGGGGGTTCTCTGTGATGAACTTGGAGTACTTCCTCTTGGGGGACTGGATCTCGTGCTGGTGGCCGAACAGAGCCATGTAGGGGTCCTCAGCCTGCTGCTGCTGCTGCTGCTGCTGGGTGTGCTGCTGCTGTTGCTCGCTCATGTTGTCGCTGTGTGTGTGTGTGTGTGAAGAAGAGGGAAGGAAAGGTCAGGGGTGAGACGGTAGCGTCGGGGCTTTGAGCTTGCTTGCTTTGCTTTGCTTGTCGATGATCTTGATCTTGATCGAGTGAGTGTAAATGAAGTGATGATCGTGTGTGCGCTCGCAAACAATTGTGGCCAATCATGGGCGCTTGCTCCCGAACGTATCGCCAACCAACCAACCAACCAACCAACCACCCGAACGAACGAAGCAATATGTCGAGCAGCCATCACGACTTACGTAGTGGTCGAGGAGGGAGCCATGTTGTGTTGCTTGTGCTGGCGGTGCTGGTGGGTGCTGGCAGCTGCTGCGCGTGGGGTTGGATGGCGTGTTGGATTGCTTGATGCAAGTCGAGGCAAGTGGGAAACTGCCTGCAACGTGAGAGAGTTGTGATGATAACGAAAGAAGCCATTGCCACTGACGCAAACACACACAAAAGCAAGCCGGTGAGAACGAAAGGCAAAATTTGCCTTGAATCGCTCGCATCAAAAGCAAAATTTCCTTTCGCATTCCGAGCAAACGCACGCGACACGACAAAAGCAAGAGAGACAGCGATGATGATGGCAGCGGCGGTGATGAGGCAAGTGGCACGGCGGTGGTGCTGGTCGGTGGGAGCAGCAGCACGAGCAGCACCAACAGTCACGGCGCAGCAGGCGAAGCAGGGTGCCAAGCGAGCAGTGAGCATCACCACCACCACCACCACAACAACAACAACAGGTGTGGCTGCGGCTTCGACGGTGGGTCAAATGCGTGTGTTCGATGCACGCCATGTCAGGGCACACCAACAGCAGCTGGGTGCGCAAATGCGTTGCATGCACGTGGCAGCCGCTGCCTTGGCGCGTGGCGCAGCTGCGCCTTCGGCAGAGCCTGCAACATCCACAGCAAATGCAACAACAGCAAAGCCCAAAATCACCACCTACGACGTGAGTGTGTGCATGTGGTGTGTGCCCGTGTGAGTCGCTGTGTGTGTGTTTGTGTGTCTGTGTGAGTGTGAGTGTGAGTGTGAGTGTGTTTGTGTGCCTGTGTTTGTGTGCCTGTGTTTGTGTGCGTGCCTGTGTGTGTCTGTGTGTGCGCAGGTATTCGCATTGTGCATTGCGTGACGTGTGCCATGCCATACACGCCAATGCTCACGCTTGCACTGGTGGTGGTGATGGCCTATCATTGCCGCATGTGTCGTACTTCTGCTTTGCATGACAAATGCAGATTCGCACGCACAGTGAATCTGGCCTCTTCCACTCTGTTACAATCAAGGTACAACTGCAAAAAACAACCAGAGGGCGAAACTGACCCAAGGGTGTGATGGTGTGCCTTCTCTCTTGCTTGTTGTTGTTGTTCAGACAGTGCAAACGAACCCGCTCACGCTTGTTGCCCATGGGTGGGTTGTGTTGTCAGGGTGAATCATGGAACTACGCAAACCTGGACAGCTTCTTTGGCTTTATTGAACGCGCCGCAGACGAGCTCAACATCCAGCGCGGCGGCACGTACGTTTCACACCCATGCATGCGCGAATGTGTGCGTGAGTGTGTGTGCGTGCGTGAGTGTGTGTGCGTGCGTGAGTGTGTGTGTGTGTGTGTGACGTGTGTGTCTGTGTGTGTGTGTGGGGGGGGGGTTATGTGCACTCGCGTCTCCTTTGCCGTGATCCCCCATTCTTCCCTGTGTCCTTCCCATCGTTCTCCCTTCTCACGCAGCAATTACCCTTCGCTCTCTTCAGGGTGAAGCTGCCAACGCACCGCAAGGAATACACTGTGCTCAGTTCCCCACATGTGTACAAGCAGCACCGATCACAGGTGCGCCTGTGTGCATGTGTCTACTTGTTGGGATTGTTGCTGTTTTGCATGTTAGACTTGTTGCAGGTGTAGATTTGTTTGCGTGCGTGCATGTGCTGTTTTGCATTGACGCTGCTCACATATATGCGGCTTTCATCCACCGACAGTACGTCCTGAAAACCCACAAGCGATGCATTAAGGTGCGTGGGTGTGTTTGCGTGTGCGTGTGCGTGCGTGTGTGTGTGCTTGAGTGTGTGTGTGTGTGTGTGTGTGCGTGGGTGAATGAATGTGTGCGTACATTTGTGCACCAATCCATTATCCTATCTCCATTGACACACACACACACACATGCCCCGCGACCACCTCACCCACCACCACCACCACGACACCAGATCAAGAATGTGACGGAGGAGACAGCTGCGTCGTTTGTCGAGTACATTATGACCAACGCGCCGCCCGGTGTTGCATCACGCGTCATCATGGTGCGAACCTCTTTTGTCTGTGTGTTTGTGTGATGTCTGTCTGTCTGTCTGTCTGTCTGTCTGTCTGTCTGTCTGTCTCTCTCTCTCCTCTGCAACCTCCACCCCAATCCGCATGTCACATACAATCACCATCACCACCACCTCACTCATCCATGCGCGTGTTGCGTTCGTTTGTGTGTGTGCAGAGGGCAGCAGCGTCGATGCCACGGGCCGCAACCACGACCAACACCAGGACCAGGGCAGCACGAGCACAGTGACGGCCACCGCCATCACGGCTGTTGTGACCGAGGTGGCTGCACTGGCTGCTACTGGCTGCTGACATTCAACCACGCTTACCCCCGTGTCTCATTCGCAGACACACACACACACACTCACACACACACACACACACATCAGCAACCGTGTTTGCATGCATGCCCCAGGTGCTTCACGCCCTCTGTGTCTTTCTCTCTTCGCTCACACCAGCTGCATATTTGGTTTGTCTGGTTTGTTTGGTTGTTTGTAGCGTGCTGTTTGCTTGTCTATGGCAATGAAACGTGAACATAAGCACAGCTTGTTTCCATGCGAGTGAACGCATGGAGAGAGAGAGAAGGAGTCAGTTATGATAGGGCATGCGCAGCTTGCACGTGAGCAGCAACGTCGTGCTGAATGAATACGACACAGACAGACATGACACAGACACACACAGACACACAAGCACACAAACACACAAACACACACAAACACACACAGACAGACACACACAAACACAGACACAAACACAGACACACAGACACACAGACACACAGACACACACACACACAAACACAGACACAAACACACGCAACGCCCCCCCTCCCCTGGATGGCTACAGCGGGCGGTGCGCACGTGTGCGAGCGGATGGACAAAACGACATGATGACGGTCTGCGGCGGGCGCAATCGCAGTCGTCGCTTACGCAGCGCTGGGTTCTGCCACACCTTGGCCAGCCCATCAGTGACAGTCCAAAGGGCGAGCGGGTGGCGGGAGGTGGCAGCATGGTTTGTTGCGCCAATGGTGTACCTGTTTGGTGGAAGTTGTGGGTTGGAGGGTTGGAGGGTTGGAGGGTTGTGGGGTGGGAAGGGGCAAAGGGGGGGGGCAGGGGATGTGACGCAAAGGAGTTGGGAGAGGTCGGTCGAGGGATGGTGACGTGCGTGAGTGCGTTGATGGGTGAGGTGTGCGTTCGCAAAGAGTACATGCACGCATGCACGTGTTGAGTGATGATGACCGTCATAGTCAACACGAAGACGACACCACGTGATGCCAAAACCTCGATCACGCGCACATATGCCTCCAGAGCACCCATCTGTTCACTTCAAAGTGTGACACTCAGTCCATCCCCTGCTCTCTTCATCACCACGCTCATTCCGCATCAGCCATTCCGCGGCCCCCACGCACCCCTGCGAGACAAAGTAGAGGCCGATGGTGCCTGGTCGCTGGCGTGCAAGAACGCCTTCAAACTCCCGCAGCAGCTGTACACCGACCTTCCGCTTGGACGACTTGCACTGCAGGTGTTGGTAAGTGTGTGTGCGTGTGTGTGCGTGTGTGTGCGTGTGTGTTGGTATGTGTGTGTGTGTTGGCATGTGCGTGCGTGCGCGCGCGTGTGTGTGTGCAGGCAGGCGTGAGCCGAAGAGTGAGAGCCTTGGGCTGCGCCACATGGCTGCACGCATGTGTGTATATGTGCGTGTTCATAAATGCTTCTGGTGTTACCTGAGCAACAAAGTCGAGGATGGTGTTTGCTTGGTCCACAACTGCTTGTTGTTGTTGCTGATGTCGCGCCTGGTCCCGCATCATCGACGCCTGAAGAGCATGGCGTGGTTGAAGCAGCGCAGCGTGAATTCCAACAAGAGCGACACGATTGGGCTTGTGCAGAGCTACCACGCACGCAAAAGGAGCCGCAATCACGCAAGAAACAAGCCTTTCACACACACGCACATAACCGTGGAGGCCCTTCTCACCGGAAACGATCCTGAAATGTCGATGCCACCATCCGATCTACCGCCTACCAGTGAGATGCTTGCACCCATTTCTTCCAGCATGTCACCACACAGCTGCTCAAAGAGTGTGCCTTGTGTCACATATTCACGCGCAACCCCGTCGTCGGCCTCGACTTCGCCGCCATCCTCACCCGCGCCATCGCCGTGATCGAATGCCTCGTCGCTACTGCTGCTGCTGCTGCTGCTGCTGCTGCTCCCAGAGACATCAGCTGCAAAGCTGCTTTCCGGCGATGAAGACTGACACCTCACTTGCCTGTAATGTGTTCTCAATCCACACCCGCATCTCGGTTGCCGGTGCGCGCATCCGCACCTTGCAACAGTCCGCCTTAACTGACACGCGCTCATTGGGATGTCAGCGAAGCCGCGCACTGCAATCTGTGGAATGACCGACAACGACGACAATGACGCTGCGCTCCTTACAGCTCCTCCTGTTGCCACCGACGCTGTTGCTGACGCTGCTGACGCTGCTGGCGTGCATCGTGTCATGCGCACCCCAGCAGCGACCGTGGTGTTGGTGGTGTGGTGCGCCAACCACCACCGCCATGAACACGCCAACGCAGCCATCGTCCGAATTGCCGAATATTTACACAAAACATTCACAAATCGTCACAACTTTGCGCGCTTCCACACAACACAAACAACACTTGCACACTGCTCTTTGCTGCCTGCCTCCGCCGCTCTCTGTCCCTCTCTGTGTCTTCTCTGTCTCGCGTTCCTCCACACCCCATTCAAAAGGATGGATGATTTTGAGCAGACGGTGTTTGTGTCGCTGGCGCTGGCTGCGCCCTTGCTTGTGGCCATTCGCCGGTGGTTGAACCCGAAGCGGGAGTCGCGCCTCCGTCCCGCCGTGGAGGAGATCTGGTTGTTCCCTATCAAGTCCTGCGCCGGCCTTAAAGTGAAGCAGGCTGCCATCGACCAGTACGGCCTGCAACACGTGAGAAAGAGCCATATGTCTCGTGATGTGTGCGTTGCGCGCGCGCGCGCGCGTGTGTGTGTGTGTTTGTTTGTTTGTGGGTGTGTTTGGGGTTTGCGTTGCGTGCGTGTTTGTGTTAGTTTGTTTGTTTGTGCGTGTGTGTTGGTCTTCTGTTTTCTTCTCGTTGGCTGCTTTGTTTGCTTGGATTTCTTCATCAAAGCGCAACAGAGACAACCAACCCCTCGCCCACTGACTGAACTCTCCCTCCGCCTTCGCCTGATCCACTGCAAATCTTACACCCAGGACCGCCGGTTTATGGTTGTGTCAAAGGACAAGAAGCGGTTCCAGAGCCAGCGCGCTCTTCCCATCATGGTACACACGGGCGCGCTTGAAACGTGCCCTGCCGTGTCGCGGATGATGTGCTTGGTTTCCGCCAAACTTACCCGTGTGTTTAACTCTGGGTGTGCACCCTTTTCTCACATTTCCCGTCTCCGCCCTGTAGGCCAACATCCACGTCGGCTTTGTTGGCGATGACTTGGTTGCCGTGCATGAAGGCATGCCTCCACTCTACCTCGCCACCTGTGCAGACGTTCGACGCAACGCCATCGGAGGTTAATTGTGTGTCTGTTTGTGCGTGGCTGTTTGTGCGTGGCTGTTTGTGTGTGTATGTGTGTGTGTGTGTGTGTGTGTGTGTGTCTGTATGTGTGTGTGTGTCTGTGTGTGTGCTGCCATAATTGTGTGTATGTGTGGGAGCTTTGCAGCCTCCCTTGTCGCCCCCTCACCCTCAAGTCCCTCACCACTACTACGTCCAAATTCGCCATCGGCCTTTGCCTACAGACGTGCAAGTCAAGTGCGACCCCTCCACAGTCGTCGGCAAACCGACCGGCAGCAGCAGCAGCAGCAGCAGCACTGTTGACGTCACCATCTGGGATGACACAATCGCCGCTCAGACTGTGTCTGACGAGCAGTCAGTTGCCGCTTGCTGTGGGGCATACGCGGGGCGTGTGTGTAGATGTTTGTGTGTGTGTGTGTGTGTGTGTGTGTGTGTGTGTGTGTGCATGGGTGTTTGCGTGTGTGTGTGTGTGTGTGTGTGTGTGTGTGTGTGTGTGTGTGTGTGTGTGTGTGTGTGTGTGTGTGTGTGCATGGGTGTTTGCGTGTGTGTGTGTTTGCGTGTGCTCATGTGTGCTCACGTGTGCTCACATGTGTCGCATCCACGTGTATGTCACATGCGCCTCTGTTTGCTGCTTCCCTCTTGTGCCCACGACACTGCTTCGCGTGCCCTTTCTCACCACACCACCACCGGCCATATCATCACCACCACTTGCGCGTCCACTGCCCAGTGACCGCTGGTTCAGTCAGGCGCTGGGCAAAGATGTGCAGCTTGTGCGCACGCTCCCGCCAAACCAGCACCACCGCCTCGTCAACAACAAGTGGGTTGTGTTTGCGTGTTTGCGATGCATTGGTTGTAGTGCCTGTTGTGTCGT